GTTGATGTTTTGCTTATCAGAAGGTGTAGTATTTGAAGCTTACATATATTGTGTATATTGATTTAAACAAGATTTTGTGTGGACTTATCACCGCGCTATATGAGACGGAGGGTGTGTGATAAGGTGTCGGATTCTTGGTCATCAGACATTGTATTTGTGTTTAAGCTTGATATTTTTAACAGCTTGAGATTTGAACAAGATTTTTGTGGAATTTATCACCCTATTGAAGAGGTATTAGTAAAGTTGGTTTTCGATCATGCAAAGGTGTAGTGTTTAGAACATTGATTTTTAGCGGTGCAGGCGGAGGTTCAGCGGTCGGAGCTCGCGGTGTTTTGGTCGGGGGTTGGGTTCGTGGCTGAGGAGGAAATGGAGGAGAGAGTTGAGCTGGTTGGGGAGTTGATGAAGGAGAGTGTAGAGAAAAGAGGATGAGCTGGGGGTTAAAAGAGTGATTTGAGAGAGAGAGAGAGAGACAGAGAGGACGTTGATTGGTTGAGTGTGAGAGATTTGTTGGATTAGAGAGAGAGTGTCAGAGAGAGAGAGAGGGAGATTCAGTGTGGGATTGGAGAGAGAGAAGAACGGCGGAGAAATTAATGAGGAAGATTTTGCGGGATAGGGTGGTTGGGAGGATGTGGGTTGAGAGCTGGGGGAAAAATACTAGGCGGAGGGGTATACAGAGTGAACACCGGTGAGAGGAAAAAACATAGGGAAAAATACCCCTTTAAATAATTTAAAAATATCATAAAATTTATTCCAAATAAATATTAAAATTTTATGGTCAAAATAATAGTAACAATAATAATATAATATAATACCGTATTTTTAAATCGTAGAAAATTCTAGAGAAATTGGGAAAATACAAATATTCTTTTTAGAAAAATAATATTTAATATTTAAATACTAGAAAATTATTTAAACCCGTATTAGAAATTTACGGTCATTACACATTGAATCTGAATACATGAGATACAATATCTTCTCTGACTACTATTACTCTTTAACCTACTGAACTATTTTCCTCTTTCCTATTTTACACAGAAATTCTTTAAAGAATGAGTTGACTCTACTAGAAAAGGTGTAGCATACCTATGTCAGTGCAGTTTGTAGGAGTTGTTACCCAAAATATACCGATGATGATTGTTTCAGAGTATTCTATGAATGTAAGTTTTACTTTTGCTTTTCTTATTCGAATAGAGATTCATAGCAGTATAAATTATGCTCATTAGGCATTAGGAATGGCGGGACTTTCTTTTAGTCATTTCACCTTTCCATTTTCCTGTTTCATTTCTAATGAAAATTTGCTTCGGTTTTGGCATGGAGAACTCCAACTCTAAACCACTCCCATTGATCCAGGCCTCAAGTTGAGGAAGGATGAAGGAAAGCCTCTGGATGATGTGACCGAGTACTGAAGAATGGTTGGCAGCCTACTGTATCTAACAATTACCCGCCCAGATATTACTTATTCAGTAGGCGTAATTTCTCAGTTCATGAAGCGACCTTGTGTTGGTCATATGGCTGCTGCAAAACGTATATTGAGGTATGTGAAAGGAACTTTGAATTATGGCTTACTTTATCAAAACAAAGGGATTAATTCTCTGCAATGCTATGTCGATGCTGATTGGGACGTGAATGTAAATGATAGATGCTCAACCACAGGCTACTGTTTTAATATTGGCTCAGCAGTTATATCTTGGTGTAGTAAGAAGCAAGCTACAGTGGCGTTATCAATCACAGAGGTTGAATATGTTGCAGCCACTTTAGCTTCTCAGGAGTGTATCTGGCTTACAAGACTTCTTCAAGATGTTAATGAAGTTTCAAAGTTTCCAATTCCTATTTTTTGTGATAATGAAAGCGTCATCAGACTTGCTGAAAATCCGGTGTTTCACTTGAGTGCGAGAGAGAGAAAAAGATAGATTGAGAGAGATTGGAGAGAGAGTAAAAACGGCGGAGAATTTAATGAGGGAGAGAGCGTGGGATAGGGTGGTTGGGAGGATGTGGGTTGAGAGCTGGGGGAAAAATACTAGGCGGAGGGGTATACAGAGTGAACACCGGTGAGAGGAAAAAACACAGGGAAAAATACCCCTTTAAATAATTTAAAAATATCATAAAATTTATTCCAAATAAATATTAAAATTTTATGGTCAAAATAATAGTAACAATAATAATATAATATAATACCGTATTTTTAAATCGTAGAAAATTCTAGAGAAATTGGGAAAATACAAATATTCTTTTTAGAAAAATAATATTTAATATTTAAATACTAGAAAATTATTTAAACCCGTATTAGAAATTTACGGTCATTACACATTGAATCTGAATACATGAGATACAATATCTTCTCTGACTACTATTACTCTTTAACCTACTGAACTATTTTCCTCTTTCCTATTTTACACAGAAATTCTTTAAAGAATGAGTTGACTCTACTAGAAAAGGTGTAGCATACCTATGTCAGTGCAGTTTGTAGGAGTTGTTACCCAAAATATACCGATGATGATTGTTTCAGAGTATTCTATGAATGTAAGTTTTACTTTTGCTTTTCTTATTCGAATAGAGATTCATAGCAGTATAAATTATGCTCATTAGGCATTAGGAATGGCGGGACTTTCTTTTAGTCATTTCACCTTTCCATTTTCCTGTTTCATTTCTAATGAAAATTTGCTTCGGTTTTGGCATGGAGAACTCCAACTCTAAACCACTCCCATTGATCCAGGCCTCAAGTTGAGGAAGGATGAAGGAAAGCCTCTGGATGATGTGACCGAGTACTGAAGAATGGTTGGCAGCCTACTGTATCTAACAATTACCCGCCCAGATATTACTTATTCAGTAGGCGTAATTTCTCAGTTCATGAAGCGACCTTGTGTTGGTCATATGGCTGCTGCAAAACGTATATTGAGGTATGTGAAAGGAACTTTGAATTATGGCTTACTTTATCAAAACAAAGGGATTAATTCTCTGCAATGCTATGTCGATGCTGATTGGGACGTGAATGTAAATGATAGATGCTCAACCACAGGCTACTGTTTTAATATTGGCTCAGCAGTTATATCTTGGTGTAGTAAGAAGCAAGCTACAGTGGCGTTATCAAGCACAAAGGCTGAATATGTTGCAGCCTCTTTAGCTTCTCAGGAGTGTATCTGGCTTACAAGACTTATTCAAGATGTTAATGAAGTTTCAAAGTTTCTATTTCCCATTTTTATTGATAATGAAAGCGCAATCAGACTTGCTGAAAATCCAGTGTTTCACGCTCGCACGAAGCATATTGCTGTTCATTATTATTTTATTCAAGAGAAGGTGCTGAATGAAGAAATTGAGTTGCATGTCGTACGTACAACTGAGCAGGTTGCAGATGGATTTACAAAGGCTCTATCTAGAGCCAAGTTTGAAGAATTTCGAAGAACTCTTGGTCTTGTTGATGGAGGGAATGCACTAAGGGGGAGTGCATCATCGCCTGTAACAAGATCCCACAGATCTTGTCGTTGAAGATAAGCCTCCTTGCACAATCGCCAATATTGATAATTTGTGCCAACAAGCTTCTCAATAGTCATTTGAGAAATACCACTACCAATTTGATCACTTTAATTAGCCCATTAGATAGTTTTACATGGAACTTAATTTTATATAGATCATTAAAATATGAGGTCAACATGCTTCACTATATGCTTCTTTTGCAACTTAGGGCGATCTTGGGAGCTATTTACAAAAGAAAGGACGTTTGAAGCCACATAAAGCTCTTATCTTAGATTTGCACTGGATATTGTCAGGCATGTATCGCACTATTTGAAACATGTTGTCTTATGGTTTAGTTCATATGAAGACCCATGGCTTCAACGTTGATTTTATTTAAAAAGGATTATTTGGATAGATAAAGTTCCCTCCTGTTTTCCAGCATGAAGAGACTCTTTTCGGCACACTTTAAATTGTCTACTTTTCAGTCCGTTTTATTAATGCTGGTGCTTTTCTTGTTGCATTGTTTATGAAATTACTTATTGTAATTATTTCAGACATCAGATGATTCATTAAGTTTCCATTTTGGTTTCATTTCAAGTCATGTTGTAAACTTACATATCATAGTTAACAATGATATTGCAGAAAGATGTACGTTCAATCATTACTATGCATCTAATGTGCATCGGTCTTTGATTATAATTACATGATTACAACTATAATTTTGATAATTTGAATGTATTTTATGCAGAGGAGTAAATTACCTCCACCAGTGCAAACCTAACCCGATAATTTTTTGTGATCTAAAGCCAAAGTATGATGGAAGAGACTTGAAGTTAACATTTTCATTTCATGAGTTTCACAGTGAATTTTCTATTTACTTGTTGATTTTTATACTTACTATTTGGACTTTTGGGTAAGGTGCCAGAAATATATTGCTAGATAATAGTGGCCAGTTGAAGATAGCAGACTTTGGTTTGATCAAACTGACAAAATTATCCCATGATAAAGCAAAGTTAGCACATTGGGTAAGTCATTATATCTGAGAAGAACCATGGAGATATTTCTACTACACATAGAAATACCTTGACGTCCATTCTGATTTGAAACTAACTTTTTTCTTTATCTTCGAAGTAGGAAATCGGTAGCCTATATAAGTGTTGAATAAATTTTTGTAGTATTCTGGTGTCCAGATTTCACTGATTTCAGTGTAAGGTTTTAGTTGTTCTTTCAATTATCTTTCGACAATACACATCTGATCATATTTAAGCTGTTCCTTAACCATATTTAAGCTTTTTCTTAAAATATTGCAGATATGGCCATCTAAGCAGGGATTATAGGTACCTTTTCAGGATAGAAATTTTGAATATTACCAGTATGTATTAGTCTGTTGTATGCTACTACATACCTTATTAGCTGTCATGAATTCCTCTAATGTTTCTAATGGTTGTGTCTTTCCGTACATAATTTGGTTAGACATTGAAGGTCAATATTTAAAGTTTACTCGTGACCAATAAAAAATAGGTTTTGAGCATTTTAAAAGTTGTCTGAGAATTGCATCTACATGTGAAACAAGCTGTTCTGGGAATTCACAGCATTGTACCCCAGTTTGCAGGAATCAGTTTCCTTGAATCTTTGGTATTTTATGATGACTGTTATGTCTCATGTTGTGTATGCTATATCCAAAATCACAATTTTACTTCCAGGTTTCAGAATTTTCACCCACAACATCAACTTCTATGGGTCTGCCCAAAGAGTTTCATGGACATTGTCAATCACTTAGAGTCTAATTATTTGAAGGTTTGCTTTGATTGTTCAGAATATTTTCCCTGAAGTTTAATGCATTTGATACTTATTGTTAAGTGCTTCTTTATTATCTTGAATTTGGTACGTCTTTTCTCGAACTTTTGCTCATGACTTTTATGACTCCGTTACAACTTCAATTCTTCATGTAGGAATGTTACTGTTGGACCCAAAATGCTGCCTGATAAAATATTAGGGAATAGTCTGACTGTATCAGAAGATAAAGTTTGTTTTGCAGCGTTACGCCTTGTGTTTTATATTTTGAACTGGAATTTCAATCAAACTTCTTATGATCCTTATGGTGGCAAAATATATTCCTGCTCTTCTGGAATTAGTTACGACACCTCCTTAGCGAAGAAGTTTGAACGTTGCTTGGTGCATGTTGGCTTCTGTGGCTTATTTGGCTCTAATATGTTCCATACATTCTTAGACAACTATGACGCTAATTTTTTTCCCTGCTCTTATCAAAGTTGATTTGCACATTTTCCATTATGAGGAACCATATTCTATGAATTTGTTTAAATCTTGTGCTCAAGTTAATTATCTAAATAACCATCGTAATCTGCTTGTAGCCAGGACCCACATGGCGTGATGCTTTGTTGTCAAGTGGACACATTGTTTGGCTTTTGAATTTGTATGCATCACTCATCCAAAAATATTCATCTGATGTGAGATGGGTAGATTCACCCCTTGTTGTGTCTGCTAGACAGCTTATAGTAGAGTTCTGCTCTCTGTCTGGGGCTATTTTCCCTTCTGGTACAACTGTTCAAACAACTCCATTGCTGCCAGAAACTAAATATTATCTCTTAAATAATATATTGATGCTCCGTTCTGTTATATTTATCATAATTACATCATTATATGGTAGTTAGAGAATTCAAAAGTTTTTTTGTGATGCATATACAAGTTACTATTGTTATTTTCCGCATTTCTTTAAGACAAACTTTCTTCTGCTCTTAGCTCTCTAATTTGCTTTGTAGATAGTTGTTATTGTTACAAATTTATTCTTGTCTGGATATTATTATCTTGCATCAGGAAAGATAATTTAAATGAAATCCAACAAAGGTTGCAAAGATGTTTTGAATGTGAATATCTTCAAACGAACTAGATTTGGTTTTCGATGGATAGCGTGATTGGAAAAAGAAAATACAGTGTTAAATTTCACACGACAGGATTATTAGCTTTAAATTTTTGCTTAGTTATAGATCTCCCTTGCATTTAGCAAATATACAATAAAGATTTTTACTATGTTGCCATTGTTCTAGAAGAAAATTTCATGTAACTTCATGTGACTGACTCATTGTTTTTTGTAGGTTTAAGTGAATGGAAAGGAGACTACTACTCTTTATAAGTTATTGAAATCAAAGAAAGGAGTTTTTTTTGCGATGGCATCAAGTGGATTTTCAATAAATTCTTTGTGGACAAAGATGGAAAAGTTGTGGAAAGATATGCACCGACAACCTCACCTTTGAAAATGGA